TGTTTAAAAGAAGTTTTCATTATAGAGTTCTTTCAGCCTCTTAGTTTATTTTGCCTCAGTTTATTCCTAGGCATTTTATTTTTTGAGGCTATTGTGAATGAGATTATTTTCCTGATTTCTTTCTCAGCATGTTTGTTATTGGTATATAGAAAAGTTACTGGTTGCTGGGCATGGTGGGGCCCACTTTGAATCCTAACACAAAGGAGACAGGCAGGCAGAACTCTTAGTCCAAGGCTGGCCTGGTCTACAAAGTGAGTTCCAGGCCAGCTGGGGCTACAGGGAGATCCTGTCTCAAAAAGACCCCCCAAAAAGTTATTCTTTTTTGCATTTACAGATCTAAGAGTTTTGGTGGAGTATTTAAGGTTTTTGTTTTGTTTTGTTTTTTTGTTTTTTTTTTTTTTGGAGACAAGGTCTCACTGTGTAGGTCAGATTGGCCTCAAACTCACCGAGATCTGCCTGCCTCTGCCTCCTGAGTGCTGGGATTACGACATGTGCCACTATTCCCAGCCTGAGTTTTTAGGGTCTTTTAAATATAAGATTATCTCATCTTGTACAAATAGAGGTAATTGACTTTTTTCTCTTTTGTATTTCATTTCTTTCTCTAGTGTTGTTGCTCCGGTTAAGAATTCAGCAATGGGCTGGAGAGATGGCTCCATACTTAAAAGCATTGGCTGCTCTTGCAGAGGACCTGGGTTCAGTTTTCAGCACTCACCCACATGATGGGTCACAACTGTCTGAAACTTCAATTCCAGGAGATCTAACACCTTTTTCTGGCCTCAGAAGAAATACTTCAGGTTTTCTCCATTTAGTATAATGTTGGCTGTAGGCTTGATTCTTCAACTAAGACAGTAGAATAAATGGTTTATTAAATGTATTTCTTACTCAGTGATAACTGAGAATATCGCTAGTCCAGGGCTGAGGTTTTGGTATGAGCAAGATGAGCCCCTCATGGGTAGTTTCAGGCAGGGATGCTGATGGAAGGTATAGCTCCACGGAAAGAAGCCAGATGGCAACATGCAGTCCAGCATCTCATGTCCACGTCCTTATTTCTGTTCCCATGGCCTCCATGGGTACACAGCCTAGTAGCTTCCTCAACCTATGCTGTCTTTCTCTTGTGCACATCTCGTTTGTCTCTTGTGTAGAGGCCTCTAAGCTGAGCTAAGGCCCAGGTGGAGCAGCTCTTGGAAGTTTCTCTGCTTGGGCTTTATTGACCTCAGGTCTGTGAGTTTGCAGTGTTCATTGTATTTCATAAAGTTTGCTTGCTATTTTTCCAGATGTATTTTGTTTTCTTTTTCTGGGGTTGCTAGTTATGTGCACATTAGGCTGTGTGATAGTGACTGACACTTTTTCTCTCTCTGCTTATTTGAGCGGTTTATATTGTTGTGTGTTTAGTTTCACTGCTCTTCTTTTTCCATGTTAATCCGATATTAATCCCGCCTGGCGTATTTTTCCCCCCCATTTCAGATACTGTTTTTCTTCTCTGTAGAAGTTCAGTTGGGGTCTTTATTCTTTCTGTTCCTCTTCATGCACCTCTACCTTCTTGACTGTATAGAACTTAGTTATAATAGCTAGCTATGTCTTTGTTTGATAGTTCCTTTAGCTCTCATTTCTTGATCAGTTTTTATTTAAAAAAAATGGTTTATGGTTCCAGGTCATGTTTCCTGTGTCTGCAAGTCTATAATAACAATTGTTGGTTTGCTGCCTCTCAGCTCTGAATGCCTACCATGATGCCCACTGGGGACATGAGACTTTGTCCCTTGCTGGTGCTAATCTTTGTCAGTGGATGGTGCTCCGGGAGAAAGGGCTTCTTTTGGTTTCATGTGCTTTATTAGAACTATTCTCTGATTCAGACTGGTGTGTGGGACACAGGTTGTCTTAGGCAAGTTTCATATAACTTTCATATATATGTTATATGTTATATATATATATATACTTCCTGGTGAGTTTGGTATTTCAGAAACCCTGAGCCTAGTGTGTGAGAACCAGCCTATAAAGGTGGAAGAGGCTGTGAGACCAAAGAAAGAGGCAGATGGATTCAGGATTACACAGACTCCAATTTGTTTATTAATGTATTATTCTATTTTTATGTATTTAAAAATTTTTTGAGAGAGCATCTAGCTATTCCGACTGGCTTCAAACTTGTGATAGTCCTTCTACCTCTCAGCCTCTTGAATGCTGGGATTACAGGTGTGCATTACCACATCCAGCTTACAAAGTGCAATTTATTAAGGACTTTAGGTAGAAGTGTGTCTTGGACATGGCAAGATAGGTTATCTGCATCCCTCAAAGCAGGAAGAGGGCACACCTATGCTAGATGAGAAAGATGGCTGCAGCCACCTGACACTGGGTTTTCTCAAAAACTATCGACAAGCTCAGGTATGGTGGTGTACACCTTTAATCCCAGCACACAGGAGGCAGAGGCAGGCAGATCTCTGTGGATTTGAGGCCAGCCTGGTTTACATAGCTAGAGTTGTAGGCCAGCCAGAGCTATAAAGTGAGACCCTCTCTCTCTCTCTCCCCCAAAAACGTCAATTAAGAAACAGTCAGGGGCCAGCCAGATAGCCCAGGAGGTAAAGGCACTTGCAGGCAAGCTTGATAGCTTGAGTTTGATCCCTGGGACCCACGTGGTGAAAGGAGAGAATCAACTCTTAAAAGTTGTCCTCTGACCTTCTCATATGTGTCCCTGCACTCAACATACGCATCATACACAAAATAATAAAGAAAATGAAAATGAAAATGAAAAACAGTCTTGGTGTCAATGGCCAGCAGTCTTAACACCCTTGTTAATCTTGTAGTGGGTAGATTAGGGACAGGGTCACCTGCTGGTCATGATGCCTGTTACAGCCAAGATGGCTATAGTCATGTCAAGTTGTATTCCTACAAGCAAACCCCTCCCTCCACACACACACATATCAGCTATATCTTTGCCTTCCCAGCGCTCCTAAAACAGCCTTCTGGCTGATTTTGTGAACACTCTCACAAATAGTTCTTGGCCCCCAGCCATCGCCTAGGACAGCCAAAGAACATCAACATCCATTTGGGGGTTATGACCACACCCTCTCCCAGATCTGAATCTTCCCTTGGCATCTGTCTATCCTAGAATGTTCTGTGGTATTCTCTTTTGTTCCCTCTTAACTAATTCCCTGTTAATATTTTAGAGCCTTCTATATGAGACTTCCTTTGTTTAAAACACTATGTGTTTTCTGTCTTGATTGGCCCCTCACTGATGACCTGTCTTTTTGTTGTTAGATATGAATCTAAAATTGTTGACTGTGGGGGGCTGGAGAGATGGCTTAGCAGTTAAATAAAATTGTTGGCTGAGGAATTTTTGTTGTTTTGGGGGTTGTCTTTTGTTTATTTGGAGGAGAGTAAGGTGAGGTGGTATGGGTGTGTGGTTTTTGTTAATTTATTTTTATGTGTATGAGTGTTTTGCCTACATGTATGTGTACCTGTGCGTATAATGCCTGTGGAAACCAGAAGAAGGTGTTGCATCCTCTAGAACTGGAGCTGTGAATGACTGTTAGCCACCATGATCTGAAGCCAGGTCCTCCGCAAGAGCACCCAGAGCTCTTAACTGGTGAACCAGCTCTTCAGCTCATGTTTTTTTTTGTTTGATTGTTTTTTGAGACAGGGTCTCCCTGTGGCCCTAGCTGGCCTAGAATTTGCTATATACACTAGGCTGGTGTTGATCTCACAGAGATCTACCTGCCTCTGCCTCCTGAATGCTGGATTTTAAAAATGTGCACAAGCACACCCAGCTAGCTGGCAGATGAATTTTGTTGCATTTTGGTTGGTCTGGTAAAATTCCTTGGAATCAGTTGGTCTTTAGTGGCTTGTTTTTAAGCTTTGGCTAAGTTGGTCCAGAGCTTGCAGTTAATTTAGCCTTATTACTAAAGATGATGCCCCTCCAAGGATTCTACTTAATTCCTGTGAGATAGTAAGGTGGGTGGGTGGGTGGCTTGTGGGTATCCAAAGTGTTCCCATCCTGATATGAACTCTGGAGACTGTTCCATCTGTTGCTACTTTTTTTTTTTTTTGTCAATTTTTTCTTTTTTTTGATATTTTCCTCTGTCTCATGTGGTTTCACAAGCATGGGTCATTCCTAGCTGTAGGCCAAGGAACCCTCTGCAGACCCTGGAGCTGTCCTCTCCAACATTCTACCCCATAAATTTTTGCCACTTCAGCATCTTGAGCCCTGTCTTCTGAACTTGAGAGTCCCCTGCTGCTATACTGCAGTCTGGAACCTCCTCCCAGCCAGAGCCAGTGAGGTTATAGGCTCACTGACCAGTCAGTTCCCTTCACTCATGATCTCTGTCCTCATTCTGTTGTTCAGTAGCTGACAACTGCTGTATTTGTCTGTATCTGTGCTGTTTAGTTACTCAGGGTCCCTCTCTTTTTTAAAATTTTTATTTTTTAATTTAAATTTTTTATTATTTTATTTTATGTGTATGAGTGTATTGCCTGCATGTAGGTAAGTGCACCGGTGTCATGCAATGCCTGTGGAGGACAGAAGAGACTGGCGAATCCCCTGGAACTGGAGTTATGGACAGTTGTTAGCTGCCATGTGGGTGCTGGGATTTGATCCTGGGTCTTCTGCAAGAACAGTCCGTGTTCTTAACCCCTAAGCCATCTCTCCAGCCCCTAAATTTTTATTTTTTTAATATTTTACTTTTTAAAATTTTGTGTGTATGAGTAGATTCCCTGCATGTATGTAAGTGCACCTGTGTTGTGCAATGCCCACAGAGGTCAGAAGAGACCCTTGGTACTGGAGTTAAGGATGGTTGTTAACTGCCATGTGGGTCCTGGGTATCGATCCTGGGTCCTCTGCAAGAGCAGCCAGTGCTCTTAACTGCTGAGCCATCTCTCCAGCCCTCAGGGTCCCTCTTGAATGCATATGCAAACAGAATAAATGAACAAACCCTGGGATGAAACTCAAAAGCAGGTGGTGCTTGCTGACTGGATTGATCCTATTAGTCCTCCCTTTCTTCTTTCATACCCAGCCACCATGTAAATGGGAATAGCAAGATGTCTACGCAGTGGTGGTGGCCTCCCCAGCAAGCTCAAGTTTCCTGTTGCTATGTCATTGGTGAGCTGAGGTGCCTCTGGAGGTCAATGCCTCCTCCCAGGAAGCCAAGCAAGGGAAGGAGCTGATCCCAGGAGCTCTGGAAACAGAGCCACAGCCTTCCTCAGTGGTCCCACAGGTCTGATAAGTTCATATGTTTCACCGACTTTGACTTTAGGTTAGCCAGAAGACAAAGCTGGACTCACCCTGACTCCCAGGTACTGTTACCATTCCTGCTCAAGCTGGGGGAGAAGTGCTGACCCCAGGCAGGCAGCCATGCTTCCTTCCACACGAGCCACAAAGAAGGGAACCTAGAAGGCTACTGTTGCAAGGTGAGTGGACATGGGTACACAGTGGGGACATGGGAGAACTGATGCTACTCCCCGAGCTGTGTGACTTGAGGCTGATGCCTGGCAGGTGCCTTTCCCATCGTCCTGGGGTGCCTTCCTGTTCCATAGTAGGAATCTTTGCTTTAACCCCACTTGCCCCACACACAGTGGTGTCCAGACCGGTGTCTGGAACATGGCAGTCAGGCTTTGTCTGCCCACATGCAGGGCCCAGCACAGGTAGACCCTCAAGGAACACTTCACTGATGGTGGGGAGTTGGGATGGTTCCCTCTTGCAAGCCTCAGGAGATGAACATCCAGAGGCCATGGTGGTTTTTCCTAGTGAAATGCTGAATTTCTCCATGTTTTCTGTGCATGTCCCTACCCCAGAGAAGAGAGCGATTAAGAGAACATGGTAGCTCATGGGGATTGGGGGTGGGAGAAGAGCTTGGGGACCATGGTCTCCCCACACCTGAGGCAGAACTACCTGATGCTGGGGCCACATTGCTTTATCATCCTTGCCTAGAAGACAGCAGGTGAGTAAAGAGTGGAGGCCATAGGGCGAGGGCCGCTCCTCCCGGGGAAGAGTGGATGGGGGTATACAAAAGGTGGCATCGTGTTGGCCTGAGGATTTGTGGTTAGAGCTGTGGTTACCACTGTGGCATGGTACTGCACTGTCAGCACTCCCATTGGTTCCAGGGCTACTGACCAGTGCAAGACTCCTGCTCAGCTTGGGTGTGGGACGCCACCTTTTCTGTGTGGAGAAGGGCACATGGCTCCACACCAGAGCTGTTGCTCTGTAGTTCTCAGGCTTTTGCCTGCGCCACCATGTTGGGTGTGTGTGCTGGTGCTGACTTCTCTGCTTTCTAGAAGCACCTTTATCTGAGCAGTGCTCCAAAGGTCTCCTCTGGTCACAGACTGCCGTCCCTCCTTATAGCTGTGTTTTGGAGTTCCTGTCACCCTGGGTAACTGCTGCCCACCCAGATTGGGGGTTTGGAGTCTTAAGAACAAAGGACTGAGTTGGCTTGCCTGGTGCCATATGCTGGTGCCATTGTCTATGCCAGAGCACTGTTGTTTTGCATAGGGAAGGACCTCTGCCCTTTCCTTTTCCCAGCTGGTTCTTGGTGAGCAGCTACTGTGAGTGCTCCAGGTGCTCTGCCTGTGCTTCAGCTCCTGTGGGGCTCACCCTCTGAGGATGAGCCTGGTTCCAAATATATCTCAAATGCCATTAGTGGCAAGATAGAAGGAGTGGGACAGAACATGCAGTGTGAATTGATGGTATCAATGGTAAAATGAGCACCTGGATTCCTACTGCATGCCAGGAGTAGAGCTTTGGAAACTCACTCTCTACTGTGCTTGTGGGCTCAGGTGACAAGGGCACTGACCTCTGCAGCATTTTTTCTACAAGCTTCTTTCCATTCACATTTCTCCTAAAAGCAAAGTACAGAAAGATGACTGCAGCAGCAAGGGGGGGTGGGGGGAGAAGAGGGGGAAGGCCATTGCAGGGCCTGCCTGGGTGTGCCACTGGCCTCACCTGCTGTGTAGTTGAATGCCAACCGTTCCACCGGTGCTCTGGGCTCAGCATGACTGGCCAAGCACATCTGTGCAGCTGCTGTGGGACTCGGCAACTTGGGTGCTGTTGTTCTGAGGAATTTTCCACCCTGTGTTAATGCCTTCTTTATAGTGAGTAGGGCTGGTGAGCCCAGCCTAGTGGGTCGAGGGCCAAGGGCAGCTCACTGAGCTGAGGGATACCTTGTGACTTGCTCTGGTAATAAAACAATGTCATGGCAAAGACATGGGCCTCTGCCTTTATCCCCCTGGGCTCTCTGTCTGTGGAGCCAGTACACATGCCGCCTCAGTAGTTCCCAGTGGCCAAAGAAAGGCAGCCATTTGGTTGTAGCAGCTACCAGGCCTCTGGGAGTTTCTGGCCAGTGCCAGCCAAGTGCCCTGTGCAGGAGCCACTTTGCTTGGGTGCCCTAATTGTCCTCTGCGGGGTTTCTCTGGAGGGTCCATAGAGGAAGGATGCTCTCCCAAGTAGGCCACGAGAAGGGCAGCTCAGGGAAGAGCAGAGTGGGTGAGCTTGTACTCAGCTGCCCCAGCAGCTTCTGTGGCACATACTGTTTGTACAGTGGACTCTGGGCACCAGAGACTTCCAGGACAGGAGAGACATGGTCTCTGCCTTAGGAAGCTTGTATTCCCGAAAAGCTTACCAGAAACAAGTACAAGAAAAGGACATTAGTGAGCACTTTAAAACAAATAGGCAACAGGGGCTGGAGAGATGGCTCAGTGGTTAAGAACACTGGCTGTTCTTGTAGAAGAGCTGGGTTTGAATCCCAGCACCAACATGGCAGGTAACAACTAACTGTAACTTCAGTTCTAGGGGATCCAATAGCCTCTTCTGTCCTCCACGGGCATTGCATGACATGGGTGCACTTACACACATGCAGGCAATACATGCATACACATAAAATAAAAATAACTAAAAAATTGGAAAAAAACAAAAAAAGGTAACAACATCCATAAGAAATAAGAGTGGGGCCATGTTGGGGGTAGGTGCTGTGGGAGAGTGGAGCTTCTCTGGAAGAGGTGGGATTCAAGCCTAAACTGGAATGACAAGAGGGCCCAGCTCTCTAGGTGGAGCCGAAGCTTTGAGCTAGAATCCCATAGGTCACGGTAAACATTAGATTTCACGCTGAGGACAATGAGAACCTGGTGACAGATTTTAAGCAGGGGAATAGCATGGTCAGTGATCTGATTACAAATATGCTCGATGTTCTTGGAGGCCTGGGATTGTGGGGACAAAGTCCTCAAAGCAGGGAGGTCATGGAGAGGCAGTGTTAACAGGGTCAGTGTGGTGACTGCAGTCAGGGAGAAGTAGAGATTCTGGGTGTATCTGAGATGGCTAAAGGAGAGCAGGGACCTAGGATGCTCTCAGGAGTCTGAGTGTCTGGATAGTTGGGCCACAGTGATGGGCAGAGAAAGCAGGAGTGGTCCATTATGACTGGCAGGTTAGGATGCCCATCAGAGGTTGAAGTGGAGGTGTTCCTAGTATAGCAAAGTCTGGAATAAGGTGTCTGACTTAGGGGAGCCCTCAGAGTGTCTCCTGAGGTAAAAACTACCTCTGGCCCAAGGACCCTATGAGCCCTGACAGCCACTGATTAGTCCCCCTTCCCCACTGTCCACATGGCAGCCTGCCACTAGTCCCTATCCTCAGACACCTACATTCTCCCACCTCCACTCAGAACCAGCCTGATCATTACTCACCTGAGTGGGCCTTGTACCTCACCCCACCCAAGGAGCTTTCTGAGATGCAAATCTCAGGGTTAAATTAGCTTTGAATTTTCATTTTCCAGTTTATTTTTATTTATTTATTTAGTCTTTTTGAGACAGGGTCTCCTTGCAACCCCAGCTGGCCTGGAACTCAGTATATAGACCAAGATAGCCTCAATTTCAGAGATCCCCTTGCCTCTGTCTCCTGAGGGATTAAAGCCGTGGGCCACCAGGCCCAGCTCTAGTTTAATTTTGGATGCTACACTGTACCTGCTTGTTTGAACTGGTGTGTGTTGGTGGCCCAGGAACAGATTCACATTGCCCTGACTGGTATAATTTATTTTGAACACAAGAAGGACTTAAATCTGAAACTACCTGATTACATTGTATGTGTGCATGTGTAACCTGCAACCTTGAACATGCTAAATAGATATTCTATCACTGAGCTATATCCCCAGCTTTTAAACATTAAAAAAGATTTATTTTGAGACAGGAGCCAATAAGATGCCCAGGCTGACATTTAACTCACACTGTAGCCCAAGCTGGCTTGGAATTTGCTATGCCCCTGTGTCAGCCTCCTGAGTAGCAGGTGTTAAAGGCCTGTACCACCAGGAATAGCACTTGATTATTGATCAGTTTGTTAAATGTTTTTAAGGTCAACACTGGCTGTGGCACACACCTTTAATCCCAGCACAAAGGCAGAGGCAGGTGGATCTCTGTGAGTTCCAGGCCATCTGGGCTACAGGGAGACCCTGTCTCAAAAAGACCAAAAAAAAAAAAAAAAAAAAAAAAAAAGTTGATAAGATCAAAAGATTACTGTTGTACAGGCGTCAATAAAGCCCAGCATTGCATTTGTTGATATATGTTTAGTTTCTTTTTACACTATAAAATTCTATCTCTGTTCTCTTCTTCCTTGAAATTTATTGATGATTCTGTCCTTGGCCAGTGCTATTTCCTAGTCAGCCTGAGCTGTGTATCCCATTGTGGTGCTGCTGACTCCTCTGTCTCCCCTATTTGCTGTAGGTTAGTATTTGATCTAGGTGCAGGTGTGACCAACCTGCAGCCCATGAGTTGTATATATCCCAGGATAGCTATGAAGATGCCCAACACATCTGTAGACCGTGTCATGTCATAATGTCAAAATGTTGGACACTCCAATAGATGCTTGATCAGATTCAAGGATGTTTGGGCCAGAATCATTTCTGCATGCCAGTGTATTCTTCAATAAGGAAGCACAGAGCCCTGACTCACTGTCTTCTGACCATAGGCCTGGGGACTACAGAACTTGGGCTCAAAGTTCTACTCCCTCCTGGGTCTCTTATCTGCTGGGAGCCTTATCCCCATAGATAATGGTAGTCAGTGTGTCATTTACCCAAGAGAAAGGTAGGGTAACTTCTGACTCTTGGACTTTGCCATTTTGGAGAAGGTTAGTTCCCTAGCATCCCTCAGATGTTTTAGTTTCTCCTAATTATTTTTTAATTTAATTTTTTTTGTCTTTTTGAGACAGGGTGTCCCTGTAGCCCCAGCTGGCCTGGAACTTGCTATGTAGACCAGGCTGGCCTCAAACTCAGAGATCCACCTGTCTCTGCCTCCCAAGTGCTAGAATTAAAGGTGTGTGCCACCACGCCTGGCTCCCCAATTATTTATTAATAGTATTTATTATGTGTACACACACAGGTCAGAGGACGGCTTTTAGGAGTTGGTTCTCTTCCATCTTTCATAGGTCACAGTGCATAAGAGGATTTTTCCCATATCCTTTGACTTGGCTCATACTTGAATAAACCATTGTTATTTGCCGTTTCCCCTTTGGATCTGTGGCAAGAATAATTTAAAAGATGCTACAGATCCTCAGGGTTGGTTAGGACAGCCTGATCTGTAAAAGTGGCCAGCCTGCCTCATGACCACTGGCCCACATGTATTTCCTTGTTGATCTAAGAGCTCTAGAAGTGCTGAGCTTCTTCTACTTTCCCTGATGCCCATTCCTCTATCTTCAAAGTGGGGGTCAACATGGAAGTAGTGCACCCCTGCCTGCTCATTGATGTTGGGTTTGTCCCACTAGGGCCAATAAAATGTGGGCAGAAGAGACGGCACATAGGTAAGATAGCATATTTACCCAGTGGCGCTTCACTTTCCACCTTTTTTTTCTGCCAGCCTAGCCCCAGAATGAGGACCAGCAACAGATTTCCTACTTGGTCCACAGACCTACCTATGAAAGAGAAAATGTGTACTATTGTGCAGTACTGATGAGTTTTGAGGCTGCTCATTACACAGCTGCAGCTGACACAGGAGAGAAAGGTAAGAGTGATGGCTGTGTGACATCCCAGAGGGCTTCTCTCCTCAGGGATAGGGGACTTTTAAAAGGGCCAGTGCCTCTTCTGTAGACTAGTGTCCATGACCTTCAAACCTGAGGAGGCAGTGAAGGTCTTACCCCATGGATGGCTGAGGATACAGTTATGAGCCCAGATAGCTCCCAAGTCCCTGACCCCAACCCAGGTGCCACCCAAGCTGAGCTGCTCTCAGGGAGCCCTGCTGTGGGGGCTTACCACATGCATTGAGTGTCTAGGACTCAACTGCTGAACAAGGCCTAAGTCCCGACCTTTCTACTGGCTGCAGAAAGAAGGGTAGGGATACCTGGGCACTCCTAGGAACTGGGAGGAGATGGCAGGCCAGTCCCCCTAGCCACCATGTACTCAATTAGTGGGGCCAGGCCCTGCACCGAGAACCAAAACTTTCAGCTGTAATTTGTGCTCAGAAGTCCAGCTGGAGCCTAAACCAGGCTACCTTTCTGTGGACAGTGGGTGCCTTCCCTAGGAAGGTTCTCATTTCCACCATCAGTCTTGCCTAGCAACTAGGGCAGAAAAATGATAGTCGGGGCTGAGCCACCAGGTACCTCTCCTGCTTTAGCAGCCTTGCTGGGTGTATGGGATCTGAACATTAGTTAACACACTTGAGTGTCCCAGCCTGGGATTGAAAACCAAAGCATGGGCACTTACGTCTTTGAAAAGACTTGTGATGGGGCTGGGGATGTAGCTCAGTAGATAGAGTGGTTGCCTAGCATGCATGAAACCCAGTTCTCCAGTTCTGTATAACTTGGGCATGGTAGTGCATGCCTGTAAATCCCAGCATAGCATCCTAACATGTGGAAGATGCATGAGTATCGAAGTCCAAGGAGGGAGGAGGGGAGAGAGGGTGGGAGAGAGACTTGTGATGGGGCTTTATCCATCAGCTCATCGTGGGAGTGATTCTCTGAGACTTGGCTACGTGAGACACAGGTGCAGGACACTGACCTCCTGGAAGGTGGTTTTATCTTTGTACTCTTATTATGTTAATCCCTACTGGGCCTGCATGCCAGACTTCCTGGTCAGTTAGCCAGATCTACTGAAATGTCCTGACTTTGAATTTAGCCCCTTTCTGACTTCCTGTCCTCTGGCCTTCTGCAGCTCCCCACTCTAAGGTCCTGCCTCTGCATCAGCCTAGCTGTACAAACTTCCTTCTTAAAGAAGATTCAAGCCCTGTCACATGGCAGTGCCATCCTTGGAGATCCAACACAGCTCCTCCTGCGTAGAGCTGCCTTGGATGGAGGGCTGAATATTGGCACTCTAAAAGATACCCGCATCCTAATCTCTGGTAAAAGGCAACTTTGTGGGAGCTGGGGAGATGACTCAGCAGGCAAAGTGCTTGCAGCACAAGTGTGAGGACTTGAGTTCAGATCCCCAGCATCCATGTAAAAAGCTTAGTAGGGCAGCACACACTTGTAATCCCAGTGCTGGGAGGCACAGAGGGAAATCCTGGGAGCTTGCTAACCAGCCAGTCTAGCCAATTTGTGAGCCCCCAAGGTTCAGTGGGAGACTATCTTAAAGAATAAGGTGGAGAGTGCATTAATTAGAATTGACACATCAAAGGTCACATATATCAGAGATGGAGATTAGAGCAGTAGTCATAAGCCAAGGATTGACAGGACCTACCAGAGGCTGCAGGGACATGGATTCTTCCCGAGAGTGGAATGTGCACGGCTTTGCAGACACCTGGGTTTTGGACCTGTTGCTCACAGAATGACGACAGCCCATTTTCATGGTTTGTGATAATATGTCACAGCAGCCCCAGGGAATGAACACAAAGGCAATGAACACAAAACAAAAATGATGGCAAGGCCTGGCTCTGAGCTGTACTGTTTTTGTACCCAGGCAATTGGGGTTACCCTGGGCTTCTTGTTCCCCTCTCCTCCTAAAGGTTCTCCATTGCCTGGCCTTACAGTCCCCACTTTTGTCCACAGCCCAGCAACCCCAGTATTTCCCATCCAGAATCCCTGGTGTCTTGGCTGACTTGGATGGTGAGAGGGTCCCAAGCCACAGAGTAGCCATGACGTCTGGCTGCTGGGGCTCCCTGTGCAACTTGCTACCTAGTATATGGATTTGGCCTCCAAAATGACCTTAAGGCCAGATCAAAGATAATCAGATGAGCTAGTGCAACCAGCTTTGCCTCCAGCACACATACTGCCCATCCCTGATGGGGAGGACACAAGATGGGCAAAGGACACCATTTGACATTTTATAACCGTGCATAAACATTATCAGATGCTGTTTTTACAGCAGCAAGGAGCCTGTGTCTGTTGAAGTCAGCACATGCCAGCAGCCCGCCCACAACCACAGTGGGATGGTGACATAGGCAGCACAATCCTGTGTTCTAAGGTGAAGAGTGCGGTCCATGCCCCAGGGGAGGTCACAGCTACCTGAACCTTTAAAAACTGGTCAAGCAAGGCAGAATGGCATTGCCTCTGTGGTGACCTGGAGTCGCAACAGCTCTACAAGACCAATTTTTAAAAGGAAAAAATTAGTATCAAATATTTCTAGTCTTTTGATAGAATTCTCATTCTCACTCTCAAGTGAGTGCTAGGCTCTGTCACTTGTGTAGTGTGTCCCTGGTTCATTGGCCAGTCCCAGAGCAGGGAAGGCATACCTCATTTTACCAACAGAGCTGGGCTGTTCTGGCAAGTAGTCTCCAGTGATCATTGCTCCCAGGACCTGCTTTCAGGTGAGTGAGGGAACTCAGTCCTTTCTGTGGTTTCTGGTCCCTCTGGATGTACAGGGAAATGACTGAGGGTTTCTCAGCCAGTGTTCTAGCATAACAGGATGTCTTTAATCTTAGCTCCTGCCAAGCTGGACTAAGGAGGCTAGGATGAGGATGGCAGGGGTGATGTCTTACTGTTTGTGTTCTGACCATTCATAATCTTGCAGGATGAGAGGCACAAAGCTGATGGGGATGTTGTTCACCCTGGCCAGCTTACTGCAGCTAGCTGTGACCCTGAAAATTGCAGCCTTTAACATCCGAACTTTTGGAGAGACCAAGATGTCCAATGCCACCCTCTCCAGCTACATCGTGCAAGTAAGCCCAGGGGTGGGATGAAATGGGGATGTAGCTGGCCCCAGCGGCCACAGAAGACACTGGGCCTTAGACCTCATCAGTATCTGGGTAGGCATCAGGGTTGTGTCTGTCAGCCTAGGGTGCAGGTCATGCTGGCAAGAATCTAGCATGAGCGTAAGGCTGCAGGCAGAACTATGCTCCAAGGAGCTGCAGCTCTGGCCCTCTGGGGGCCCTGGAAGTTGACCGGGCCCGATGCCCTTGGCTGCTGGTGGCAGGAGTGTCCACCCAGCCCACCCTGCTCAGCCAATGTGGTCCTGCCCCCAGATCCTGAGTCGCTATGACATTGCCCTCGTCCAGGAGGTCAGAGACAGCCACTTGGTGGTCGTGGGGAAGCTGTTGGATGAACTCAATCGGTGGGTGACAGTGCTGAGTTTCTGGGGGAGGTAACACCTTCATTCATACACAGGGATGAAGTCTCATTGTCTGTAGCCTCAAAGTCCTGTTTGTAGTCACAATGGACCTTTGATTTCCTCCATCCAGAGTCAAACCGGATACCTACCACTATGTGGTTAGTGAGCCTTTGGGCCGTAACACCTACAAGGAACGGTATCTCTTTGTGTACAGGTAAAATCCTGAGCTGTTACAGCCTGAGACTGTAAGGACTGGCATGTGGGGTAGATGCCGAGTCTGGACCACAGAGGTTGAGGGTGCTCAAGAGAGCCTAGGGTGGCCCTTCTTCACTTGAGAGGACCTTCAGAGTGATAGCAATGTATACCACACAAGGCTGTGAAGTGAGGTTCAAGCTAGGTGGACAGTATGGGCAGCTACTCCCAGATGCACCTTATGACTTACAGAGCCAGGAAGGACTTGGTTTGAGCCTAGGTAGATACATGGTGAGGAAGCACAGACCTGACCTCTCCTGTTCCCAGGATAACAGGTTTCTAGGCGACAGGGTGGGAGGCCAGGACATGGACTGGAGAAAGCCACTGTCAGCCAGCCCCAAAGTTACCTCCTGCCCGGTGTTTCCTTAGACCTGACCAGGTGTCCGTACTGGACAGCTATTACTATGACGATGGCTGTGAGCCCTGTGGGAATGACACCTTCAGTCGAGAGCCAGCCATTGTCAAGTTCTTCTCGCCGTTCACAGGTGAGTGCTGCTGTGCCCTATTCTCAGCCCTGCCCAGGTCAAGATGGAGTCTTAGCTTGCTGCTTATATCCATACCTCTAAAAGCCTGTGGCATGGGTCCCCCAAACTCCCTCAGAAAGCTTGCTGTTCCCTCAGCCCCCAAGGCTGTGTTCCAGATTGATGATTGACAGTTGAGTTATAAGGAAAATGCCTACCCTCTGGGAGACTTATACATCCTTTATTTCTGCTCAGCAGCTGAGCCTAACTTGAGAGCTCCAGGGTACCCTCAGACCAACCATACTCCAGGAAGGTCTCTGGACACCAGGTCCTTAACATGTCTGCTATCTCCTCAGAGGTCAGGGAGTTTGCGATTGTACCCCTGCATGCAGCCCCCGCAGACGCTGTGACTGAGATTGATGCGCTCTATGATGTCTACCTGGATGTCCGAAAGAAGTGGGGCCTAGAGGTAAGGATGTCCTAGGGACAGTGGGCTCTAGTGGTCCCATTTGTCCCTTGGCCAACAGGCAGGTATTTCCTGGTAGGACATCATGTTGATGGGTGATTTCAATGCTGGCTGCAGCTATGTTACTTCCTCCCACTGGTCTTCCATCCGCCTGCGCACGAGCCCTGCATTCCAGTGGTTGATTCCTGACAGTGCTGACACCACTGTTAAATCTACCCACTGTGCCTATGACAGGTAAGCAGTCTGGACATGCAGAATCAATGATCAATCTTTCATATACTCACTCTCCTGATACTAGTTTTTGTTTTTGAAATCAGAATGGCTATAGCTTGGTGGGGTCTCATTTGGGCTGCTGATTCCAGCTAGTCCCAGGTCCCTTCATACATCTGGGTGGAGCAAGTTTGGAGCCATGGGCCAGGAAACCATTTATCAAAGAGACAAGAGGCTTCTCTCTGATGTCTTGCAGGATTGTGGTTGCTGGAGCTCTGCTCCAGGGTGCTGCTGTTCCCAACTCGGCTGCTCCTTTTGACTTCCAAGCAGCATATAGACTCTCCAGCCAGCTGGTAGGTGCCTGTCATGTGATTTAGCTCAGACGAGGTCAGGACACAGCTCAGTAAGAGCTGACCTGGGTGATTTTAGGTTTCAAGTAAGGCTCCCGCCACCTGTTCATCATCTTCTCTGGTATGGAAGAGCCAGCTCTGATCCCATGCCCTTCCTCTCTACAGGCTGAAGCCATCAGTGATCACTACCCAGTAGAGGTGACACTCAAGAAAACATGATGCATGGAGCAATACAGCCACATTGCTTCTGTTAAGAGCCCCACCAAGCAGCCAGCTGTATGGTGCTGCAGGATCCTACCCTATGAGAGCTTGTACAGACTGTACCACATGGATTAAAGACTGTTTAATTGAGGTAAATAAAGCTCAGAAGGTGGTGGTACATTCTGGTATCCAGACCTTTCTTCCCAGGCAGAGGCATTTATCACCTGAGAAGACCTGTTGTACACTAGGTGTCTTGGCTGTTGTCAGTGTTTCTCCAGGGCCTTGACTAGAAGGTCGTTCAGGCGGCCTACCATGGGCCGGGGGTCATCAACGAGACCTGCTGCTATCATGGCGTTCTCATAGATCTGAAGTAGAGGGGTAAGAATTGCGTTAATGGGACAGTGAAGGCAGGAGGATCAGAAGTTTAAGTCCAGCCTGAACAACAAAAAAGTAGAAAAGAGCAACTTCCTACCTAACAAGGCAGACTGAGGCCCCTAAACCCCATTGGTTCCTCTCACCTGATCCAGAAGCAGCTGGGCTAGCTCTGGCTCATGCTCTCTTAGCTGACTGAGCTTCTTGATCAGTGTGTGCCTGCAACATGAAAACCAACAAAGAAATCAGCTTACTTTGGGCACCAGTCACCCAGGGCTTCTATTTTCATATCTCCAGTTACCTTTCTGAGAATTTGGGGTTATCAGAACATTCTAAACATTGCCATTCCAGTACTTGGGGGGCAGAGGCAGGTAGATCTCTGTGAGTTCAAGCCTACCTGGTCTATATAGCGAGACACTCCATTCAAAAAGAAAAAGTATCAGAGGCCCCAAATAGTGTACACTAAAATATTGGGAGGACAAAATGTGGCTTCATCTGTGAAGACCATTAAGTGAAAATGAGAAGTTCATAAATAACTTTAAATGCATAGAAAAATAAGCATGAAAGAATAAGGTGGCCCTCTCAGGAGGAGGTAGAGGCGCAGACACTCCAGGAGTACCTTCCTGCACTAAGGGGAAAACAGGCCCAAGTACAAGCTTAGTGTCTGATAGAGGTAGCATTTCACAGTAAAGTGAGAAGGCATGTTAGTCTATCCTGCTAGGATAACTAACCATCAAGAAACAATGTTTATCTAAGTAACTGGTAGGAAACCAACCCAATCCCAGAAGAATCAAGGATTAAAAAGAACATAATATGAAAAAGCAAGTAAATATAATCTCACAAAGAAAGATTTCAATACAAAATAAAAACCCAGAAGCCAAAAAGGATACATTGGGAGTATGTTTTTCCTCCATAGGAAAAACCCCCTTTAGTTTAGATGTTCAATAAACTCCATTTCCTAACACAATTGAAACAGGAAACTCCTTAAACATCCTGACAGAGGAATCCACAAAACTAGAAGAAAGGATATTCTAAATGCTCTAACATGGCAGGGAGGGCCCTTGGATACACTGTAAAAACCTATGTATAGGACACTGACTGCCCTGTAGAATGAGGGACCACATGCTCCTTATTCCCTGTTACAAGAATAATTTTCCTATCCATGATTCTTTTTAATTCTGGACCATGTGAACATAACGAACAAAATCTAAAAGCAAGATTGAAAAGTTAAAGAGTCAGGGTTGGAGAAATGGCTCAGCAGTTAAGAACACTGGTTGTTCTTGCAGAAAACCCAGGTTCGAATCCCAGCACCCACATGGCAGCTAAAAACTGCCCGTAACTCCAGTCCCAGGGGACCCGACAGCCTCTTCTGACCTCCACGGGCATTGCATGACATGGGTGCATTTACCTACATGCAGGCAATACATGTGTACACATAAAATAAAAATAATACATTTTTTTAAATATTGAAAAAAAACAAATACACACACACACACTGGGGAAGGCAGATCTTCTTTGTTCAGTCCACTGAGTCAGTGCTCCTATCTCCTGTACATACCTTCACAGTTGATTCTCAAAAGCAGTGTTTACCAGTGAGCTGTCTGGCATCCCTTAGTGTCCTAGTTATCTGTAACTGTCAACTTGACACAGCCTAGAGTCACCTGAGAAGGGAGTCTCAATTGAGGGATTTCCCAGATCAAATTGGCCTGTGGGCACGTCTGTGGGGGATTCTCTCTTGATTGTTAATTTAAGTAGAAGGGGACCAGCCCACTTGGGTGGCACCATTCCCTGGGCAGGTGGTTCTGGGCTGTGAAAGAAAGCTAGCTGAGCATGAACCTGTGAGTGAGCCAGCAAGCAACATTCCTCCATGGTTTCTACTTCATGTTCCTGCTTGAGTTCCTGCCCTGACTTCCCTCGCCCTCTCTGACCTCCATGAGCATTGCATGACATGGGTGCATTTACCTACATGCAGGCAATACATGTGTACACATAAAATAAAAATAAAAAATAAAAGTTAAAAAAAAAAGAGTCCTAGGGCTGGAGAGGATGGCTCAGTTGGTTAAGAACACTGACTGACTGTTCTTGCAGAGGATCTGGGATCAGTTCTCAGCACCCATACGGCATGTAACAAGCATCAATAACTCCAATTCTAAGAGATCTGATGCTCTCTTCTAGCCTCTGTGTACACTTACATACATGAGGCAAAACACTCATACACATAACAAAAATAAAAACTTCCCGTGGATACAATTCAAATTCAGCTTAAATACATGGACCTTCTTGGAACCAACGTCCCATGGCACGTGAACTTCACTTCTTTCTTATGCTCCACAGTATGGAATAATCCACAGTAGCACAATTTGTAGGAGTCCCTGACAGGTCAGAGCTGGAGTCTGAACATACCTGGGGTTGATCTCCAGCGTGGGCTGTAGCAGCTGAGCACGCTCTTCCTGGGTCTTGGCTAGCTGCTGCATGCGCAAGAAGTGCCGAGCAGCCCCCATTTCCAGCACAGTCACCATGGCAGGGTGGGTGTCCAGGCGGAAAGTCACCTGCAAGCAAGGCCGGGGTGCAGATAAAGAAGAACCCAGGGATGAGAAATCCAGGGCTGGTAGGGTCTGAAGCAGAGTGTAGCTCCCCAGACCAAAGGGTTAAAAGGCAGAGTTTCAGGGCTAACCTCATTTCCTCTGCGTCAACCAAGGAAGGGCACCACAGAAAGGTGCTGAGGCCAGGGTGGGTGGGGACTCCTGCCTCATCCCTAAGGCCAGCAGGCAGCAGCATCTTACCATCAATGTTCTGGCTTGCCTGGCACTGTCCTCATCTCAAGTCTTCTGGAGCCTGTTAGCCTACCCTAATCTGCTGGTCTAGCCTCAGGGCAGGGCCTTCTCTGGACAGCCTCCTTTGCTCCCTCTTGAGATTCTCACTGTCCTGAGGAACTCTGAGAATCTTGCTCTATCTGAACCTCTGCAACCCCTTCCTGACAGGGTGCCGTTTACCATGGTGACTTCAGCAACTCAGGTTCTACCTCTCAACACAGGAGAATCTCGCCACTGAGGAGAATCATCTGAGCAGATCCAAATCCATAATCCCTTTACATCTAGTTTTGACCCTTCTCATCACAGCCCAGAGACAAGTAACGAGAACACTTGCCACAGCAGCAGGCACCACCACAGTCTCATCCGCCAGGTGTCCTGCCTGGGACCATATTTTATACATCTGCCTCTCCTGTGTGGCCATTCCTGAAAATGTCCCTGAGTCAGTGGTCCTTCATTGTGGACCCCTTCTCTGCTGGTTCTTTCTGAGTTAGACTGACAGGTTCTTAGGTCTCTGAAGCCCACCTGACTCTAAGGGTTGGGATAGCCTGTCTTTTCTTTGGAACCCCTGCTTCAGCAACTGTAGCTCCTAGAGGACCTGGGCCACACTGGCCTTGTTTGGCCACTAGAGACTCTGTCCCTCCCCTGACCACCAGGCTTCAGCTCTTCCTTTAGTTTCCTTGGATCCCTACACTGAGAAACAGGAGCCAGGCCTCATACTCCCTACTTCATCAGGGCTCCCAGGCAGTCTCCACTACTAGGCGAACACCCATCAAGCCTGCAACTCACAGCAGTAGCCAGGCAGTGAGACACACCAAGGGCCATAGTAGCTGGGTGATGACTATCTCAAGTAGGCCTCACCTTCACATTGGTAACACGAGACCCCAGTGCATTCCTCATCCAGGCCATCAGCTCTTCTGTCTCCTTCTCAGATAGGTGTTCTCTGGCTATAAAAGAACAGTGTGAGTGGACCTGGGGCTACCGCCCAGTGCCTCACTCAGCATGCTTCACTCAGCACATTCCTGGGCTGCCCCCAATCATACCACCTCAGCTAGGGGCAGACAAATGTTCTTGGAAACACATTTCACTTGTAAGAACCTTAAGAGGACACCTATGGTTGCCATGGTCTCTATTTCTTTTAGGGCTTTCAAAGAAATTTTGGAGCCCAACTGTGGTGGCACACACTTATAATCCCAGCACTCATGGGGCTGAGGTGAGAGGGTCAGAAGTTCATGGTCATCTGTGACTATACTGTGAGCTCCAATCTCCAAAAAACAGGGCAATCCTAATTCTCTTCAGAAGCCTGGCTAGTTGCAAGAGCCTCCACAGAAGGAGCCTCAGCAACTCCTGGACCCTGGGCCTTTCCCACACCTCTAAGATTCTCCCAAGCAGCTTCCTGCATAGGCTGGTAGATCCCGACCCAAGTGAGAAAGAGAACCCTGTTAGGCTGACAGGCAGGTCAAGAGGGCTCAGTGGGACAAGTGTCAGACCCCTGCCCAACACCTACACTGTCCCATACCCCAGAGACAGATGGGAAACAACCTGGAGATATGTCTTCAAACTTCTCCTCCTTGTAGTGATCAACAACAATGTCTGTCTCTACAGAGATCAGCTTCTTCTTGTCAAACTCACGCAGGTGCAGCAGAGTAAGCTCATCAAACTGCTCATAGCAGAATAGCACCTGTGGGTACCCAAACCTGTCAGCCCGCAAGAGCAGAGGGGACTCCTCCTGGGGACACTGGGGTTCTGAGCAATATTTTGCCAGAAGCTTCTAAGGAAGGTTCTGACTATCTTGGCAGCAGACATACAGACTATTCATGAACAAACCTATCTACCAACTAGTGAGAATTGTAGCCCCATCACAGACAGGTGCCCTACCTCCCACAACACAGCCTCCCAGGCTTCAAACATATTCAGTCATTTTCTCCCAAGCAGAGTTGGGAGGTTCAAGCCCCTCTCAGTTCAGACCTGGTGGGATACTATCCCTGGCTTGGCA